GCTAACTTCCATTCACATTTGGCAAGTGAAGAAGAGATTTGTAAGTAAGCCTCACCAGAAGAAGATTTGCTTTATTGTAAGGTTCTCGTTTAATCTGCCCTCTAGTCAACCTCCCTCTAAAGCTGTAGACCTGAAGTTGGTGTAATGCTGGCAATCAACTCTTTCGCTGTCTTTTATAGGACAGATGAAATCTTGACAAGTTTATACCGAAACCCAAAGTGGCTTAAAGAAAAACAGATCACGTAATTGCCATTAGTTAGATCTGGTCGGAAGGAGGAGTATGATGCCGGTGGGCATCTTAAAGTCACAGCCTAGTTATTGCTGCTTTAGAGACAGCTTTTGTGGAACGTTACATGACTACTCATAAACCTAAGAGTAGAACTTTAACACGCACACATACACACATTTATATCAATGAATCATAGAGCGGAAGCCTTAAAATGGACATGCATTGGATGCGAAGGCAAGTGGCTAAAGTTGATTTAAAAATGCTCTTTGTCTCCTAACTCATTTGAGAAGGCACTAACGTATCAACATTCTTGCCTCTCCCACCATCAACACCCTGTCGGCACAACCCCCTAAACACACTCACACACTCACACACACACAAATACAAACGTCCTTGCAGACGGCCCTTAGTCAGCCCGTCGTTGTTCATCTGCTCAGGCGCTGCGAACAGGTCTGCAGACGATGGCTCATGCAGTACTACACGCCAGACGGAGTTTCTAAGGGCAACGCGTTGAATGCAACCTGCTTAAGCAAGCACTTGTCCGCATCCGATGGCCGGGCATCATCAAGCTCCTTGGAAGAAGACGATCAAGTGGCGCCGGATGTAGTGAAGCCCGAGGAGGAGCTACCAAACGGCTCGCGTGAACGCAAGGCGCAGAGAAGGGCAGACGAGAAAAGGGGACGTGAGGCAGAAGAGGAAGAGGATGTAGAAGATATTGTGGAAAGAGGCAACAAAAAGAGAAAAGTACAAGCAGGCTCTCAGTACCCGGGCAGCGATAAGAGCGACACCATTCCCGGCAAGAAGATGAACTTGGTTAGAAAAGGCAGAGCCTCAAGAGATATCAACGAGGCGTGCGAGGGTCGTGCTGAGATGGACGATCTGAACAATGTGGCCGATGCTCACGACAACAGCTTCACCTGGTCACTGGCCTATGATCTTTTGACGTTGGCAAGAGAGATTGAAGAGTCCTTTGCTGCAGAAGACTCTAAACTGATCAAAGAACTGCTCTCTGTAATAGAAGTGAGCTCTATCAACTACATTATACATTCTATTCTATATTTTATGCACTATTTTACACACTTATTCACCTGCTTAATTCATTTTGTGCTGCTTATGTAGTCACTCCCTCGGTTTGTACAGCATCGCAACTCTTTTATCCAGTAGCTTCCAGCTTAATTTTCTTCCCTTTCATGTTGATCGTTTTGCATTCATGTTTACGCCATTCTGTTTGGCTTATTGTCCAAATACATTTCTACTTTGTCCTGCATGCATTGGCTAATCTGGAAGTTTCCCTTTCAGAGTCTCAACAGAACCATGGTCCTTGTTCAGCAAAGCGGTCTTGTGCTCACGGCCTCGATGATCCAGCCCATTTTGGCCAACCTTCGGCAGACCTGCCTGGCCGACGACGAGTTGGCTAGCAACTGGGAGTCATCTTTACACTCGACGGTCGAGAAGCCTAGTCTGCTGCTGTCTGGTGTGGCAGCAATGGTTGACGGAAAAATGATGTCGAGTCCACCTCGTGCGACCACCAGAGCTCCGGGCCTCGTCGACGCAGCGTTGGCAGCTGGGCTCAACAACGGCGGTCTGATTGGAAAAGTCCGAGGACAGGGCTGCCAGATGGCCTACAGATTCGGTGTTACAGCGAACAAGGGGAAAAGCAAAATCACGAATGAAGGAAAGCGGAAGAAAGAGGATAAAATGATGAAAAAAGAGGATGAGCAAGAGGAAGACGAAGAGGAAGAGGAGGGGAAGCAGGATGACGAGGAGGTGGAGGAGGAGAAGAAGAAGGAGAAAGATTATGAGAAAGAAGTGGAAGTGGAAGAGAGGAAGGAAGAGGAGGAGGAGGAGGAGGAGGAGGAGGAGCAGAAGGAAGAGAAGGCCGAGGATGCTAGAGAAGAGGGG